CATGTTAACTATATTAGTTAAAAGCCAACATATCACTTGTTTAAACCATATAAGTTTGAGCTGGATCACAAAAACAGGTGTAGCAAAAATAAAGCTGGCCAGAAAAATACTTTGGTTCCTCAAAAACAGTTTTTTTTTCAAATAAATCCTGGAGCAGTTTTTGAATCTGCTTACTTTTTCTTTGCAATGTGGGGCATCTAACTGAGCATGTACAATGTGAGTGTTATCCCTCTAGCTTGTGTCTGTTTGGAGAAAAATGACGTGTTGCAACCGTCCCTTGTTGCTACTGTCCCCGGTCTCCCCTATTGTAGAGAGACTTGTGGATGATTCGGAGAACACAAAGTTTGTGAAGATAAAGACACGAGGATGAAGGTTCTCAGACAACCACTGCTAACTTTCTTTCTTTCATGCATGCAGCAAGAGGTGGGGATGGGTGACATCGATAACAAAAAGACATCATTAGATGTCAGCTACAACTCTGGCTTTCAGTTATGCATAAACCTAACCAGTGCTCACAAGCAGAATCAGCTGCAGTTGGCCCAGAAATCATCTTCATGCATGACGACGCAGCATCTCATACTGTAAGGCAGGGCTATTCAACTAAACCGCTCCAGGGGCCACAGTTACTGCAGGTCAACAGCTGAGGGGCCGAACATCCAGCAATTAAAGTCATTATGTAAATAAACCAAATATTACTAAGTTGAAAGCTGTCCACAGCAGTCCGATATAACCATTTGATTCAAATAATTTAGCATTCTTGTATTAAAATTAAATATTCTTTAATAACTAAATTGATAGCAATAAAAGGTTTCTATTATAAAATTTCTGGGACCATTTGAATGTTTCTGTTAATGCATCGATTTGGTCTTAAATGTCATTATTAATGGTCTTAAAAGGTCTTTAAAAGGTCTTAAATTTAACTTACTGAAACCTGCATGAACCCTGGAAACATGTCTATATTTAACTAAAAGAAATTATCGTAATTAAAGTAGAAAACCAGGGGGTTGAGCTTAAGAGAGATGAATGAAAAAGTGGTGGGCTGAACTTTGGTCACTCAAGGGCTGGATGTGGCCTGCGGGCCGCCAGTTGAATAGCCCTGCTGTAAGGAATTCCTCTGCATCATCAGCTGCTACGGGCTTGAAAGGAGAAACTCCTGGTGTGGTTCCCCCCATCCTCTTCTGACCTCAACCCTTGGAGTGTGGGTGGGGAGGCTGTGCTAACATCCTGCAAAGAAATTCAAGTAGAAACTCCAAAAACTCACAAATCCAGTGGATATGTTAAGTTGACCTGTTAAGATGTTTTGATTAAAACAGTTTCAGTAAATATGACCTCCTCCTGCTGCAAAATCAACAAAATACAACCTATAAATAATGTGTAATAACTTGAAACAGTGCATTTTGAGTTTTTAATGTTTGAAACAAATATTCTGAATCACACTCTAACAGCTGATGACTTGAAAATGATGCTGACTGTGATACAGAACATCAAAGAAAAATATAATCTGCATAATGATTTGGTAAAGATAAACAACAACATGCAAATTCCAGCCAGAAATGTTCCTGGCCGGGTTTTGATCCGGCAACCTTTTTCCTAAGATGCAACAGCTCTACCACCACATCGCACCACGTAGACAAAAATTGCTAAAACAATGACGCATCAACGAGGTTTTGTGGATTGAGTAAGAAGAGGCGCCTCAGACATCAGAGCAGAAACATCAACAATGTTTAAACTTAAATGTACCCGAAGATTTTCCTACAAAATGTTCAACATAGTGTGATGCTGCTGTAACTTCTACAAATGATTAAATATTTTAACCAGTCCAATTCAGGATGGCCACCAGATAATGTCTGATCAGTCAGTTTTACAGATACTGAGCTAACRTGTGGTTTGGTAACTGAGAGTCATCTCAGACACTCTGAACAATGATAGATTCTGTGACTTCTCTTTATATCACCTGAAACTGTTTTTTCTTTGGGTTTTAACCAAAATAAGTGTCATGTGGACACAAGGAGACAGAAGTTTGGAACAAAAGCAGGTGGTACGCTCCTATTTTCTTATATTTTTCTTATCTTATCTTTCTTATCTTATATTTTTTTAGTCCTAAAACTGTAAAATGTAT